AGGCCTCTCCGGCCAGACTTCAGGGCTTAGGGTTGAAGACCCGAGGGCTTCTTGGCAACAGTGGTTGAAGAATCCCTTCAGGCGGTGCCGTGCATGAAATCGGGAATCCCAAAGTCCGCGCTTTAAGACAGCAAGCTCCGCAGCTTAAGTGCCATACAACTCCCATTCAGCCCCCACGCCATGAGCCCCAACCCCAAACTCCGAACCTCCAAGCTTCTGATAGAGGTTTCAATCGGGTTCAATGATTCGTATGAAAGCTGCTTCATGTTGTGTTCTCTCTTACATCGTAATTACGTTCATGGCATGATATCCCCCCAAAAACCTTAGTCTGAGCATTGAGGCCCCCTACTCTCTTGCCTGTACCGAGGTGCTGCCAAGGGTCTGGCCCACATGGTCGGCAGTACGCCAAAGACTTTTCATCGGGATATCAAGCCGAGCCCCCAGCACTATCGGGATTAAGGGCTTGGGCCTTGGATTATAGTTGGAAGTCGTTGTTTCTTGTCGGGTACGAAGGAGCTCTGTATGAGGATGAGTGGATTTGGACATTCTCTTTGCTTGGTGATGCATTGCCGGATGTGGGATTTAAAGCTTCCAACTTCATCGAGCAGCAGCGACGAGAGTGTATTTTAAGAGCTAGCCTGTGTTGACATTCAGGGAAGTTGTACGAGAGTTTTAAGAGTTTGGTGAATTTTAGTGGCCATGTCTGGCGATCATTTCACCCGCAAACACAGGCCTCGCCTGGATAGTCCGAGTGCGAGCGCGAAACCCAAAGCCATGCTGAATCCTTATGCGTAAGGCTTTAAGGGCCCTACACTGGGATTCGACGAGGCTGCTTTATGTGCAATATTATCACTTCAAGCAAATGAAAGCTTCGGCTTCCGGTAATTGCTGAACTTGCATCTTCAAGATTGCCTGCATCTGCCTGCAATGCACTGACCTCTTCCGGTCCGACAAGTATGAGAGCCGAAGACCCTGAACGCTCCCGTGCATTCAACAGCCTAGGATAGGAAACGACACCCTCAAACCCCTAGAGGTCAAGACGAACATGTCCTAAGACATGCATCCTCCAGTGGTCAGCTAAGCCGGTGGGAAGACACCCCCACATTAACCAGCCGGACAGGATCGGTGCAAGTATTGGGCCGATGGAGCGAACCCTAAAGAACCCTGAAGTCTAGCTACAAAAAAACGCGCAACAGAATTCCCAAACCCTATAGTGGCCCTAGTCGTCATGCAAAAGGCCTGCGAATATCCTGCTCGATGCCGACGGCACTCCGAAGATGGCAGACTTCGGCCTTGGCGCTCAGAGCAAGTCTCAAATCTCCGTAAGTCCATGAGGGCCGTCATAGTTCGAAGAGGAGTTGGTTTTGAAGAGTTCTTTAAAAAAAGGGCCTACATATACGGATCATACATCAGCAGGGTTAAAAGTAAGGGGCCTTAATAGCTAGACGGGCTTAGACCTGCTTGAAATCAAGACGGAACCTACAAACAGGTACATCATAGACGAGTGCCCTCTTGCAAAAGCGAGTTTTATATGCTGTTACATCTTCGTTTGAGGAGGTTCAACCCTCGTCTAGCATCTGAACCCTCCCTGAACCTCGAAAGTCCATGTAGCACTTTATTACTTTGTCCTAGGATCCGAGCAGTGCAGTTTCTGATGTGTCAGCCACAAAGACGTAATATATTTCAGGGTGTCGACGAGCTTTGCCCTAACTTTGCAAACCACCTGCTACACATAATTAAGCCCTTGCTCCTATACGCTGAGGCCTGGCCGCCGCAGTGAAGGATAACAGCGGCGAGGTAGGGTTGGGTTGCTTGAACCTTTGGGGGGCCAAGCCTGCATGCGGCGGATGCGGTTTAGCGGTTTGCGGGTTGAGTAGGACCTATGAGTTTGCGTACATGCCTGTATTCATGCATGGCTCTATGTATGTATGGAGGGATGGAGGGATGTATGTTTTCGCTGCTTTGTTTGGGTATTTGATTCGCTGTATTGTATTATGCATGTACGTAGACGGAGGATATTGTGGACGCTGTTCTCACAGCTGCTATGAGGCCAGAGAGGCCCGAACAGGTTATTGTTGGTGTTCATGTTCGCTGCTTATCGGAAACGAGCCTGGGAGCCAAAGTCCTTCTCTTATAGTCATTCGTTCTGTTAGACATTGATCCAGACATCATTTCGTCACTAGCAAATTTCTTATCTTTGCACCCACCGGTATTCTGAACCACTATGACTGACATTCACCACTATTGTAAGCACAATTATTTTTTGCTTTGTCTTCGTCGCCGTACATCCTTCAACCCTGCTGACCCAGAGCGCACGGGCTTGGTCTGTTGGACTCGAACATCCCAGCACAGCTGTGAGGACAAGCTCGCCGTGGAGCAGATTGCGGGGACACCGGGGTGCCCTTCCGGGTTCTGGTTTGCACAGTTCGGAGCCGAAGTTTCGGGCTGATTGGCCTTGGGCCTTGATGCTTTAAGTTGGGGGTTGTAGGGTCGATCGTGGGGAAAGAGGAATCTGTTCTACCCATGAGCTCACAGCCGCGATGGCATTGTGTCAAAACCCTGTATAGCCTGTGAGCTTCTGGGGGAAATTATCCGGGGTCTCTTTAGGCATCTTTAGGCAGGTTCTCATGCTCTTACATTCTACCTCAAAGCACCATTCTGCCCCTACCATGACGCAGAATGTGCCTCGGCCTTCAACTACGTCTCAGACACAGGTGCCTGGATGATCCTGGATGCCCTATATTTCAGACTGCCTCATGTTGTGTGTTTTTCTGCGTTGTGCGATTCAGTGATTCGTTTACCATTTCCGCAGCCTTCTTTCGGCAGCTTGGTGTTCTTGGAAGAATCTTATGCCCACATTTGGGCCGGGTTCTGGTTGGATTTCTGCCCTTGTAAGAGACAGCCTAACATGGCCCGGCTACTTCCTGCCAGCGTGCCGTGGGTTTTGAGACATGGCGACTCGGTAAGATGTTGATTTTGGACGAGGGGGGGTCCGTGATTTGAGTAAACGATAGGGCCTGATGGGGATGTGCAACACAGTTTTGATTTGGAGTGTTGGGTTCAGGCCCTCAGGCTGAACAGGATAAGGGCGACATGTGCTTCCCGGAAGGCCAGCCTCGACCTACCGTTCCTGAGCGAAGGGATTTAGCTGGTTTCATGGATGCCAGCCGGTGGAGGGTCGTGTCAGCAGGTTCATTAAGCTTCATGAAACATGCTGCCATGATCAAGTGCGACAGTATGCATCTATCCACATTTTGAGCCCAGGGAAGGGACCAGCCCGTTGGGACATGACATGAGTGATTGGTAACAGGGAAGTCCAGCACTTGTACCTGTGCAGAGTCTAGACAGTCCTAACTGGCTGAAGCTTTTGCACATAGGAGTCAGTGGGAGTCAGTCCCAAGAATGCAGGCACACATGTACATAGCCAGGTAGACCGGCAGCTCATCAAGTTGTACATGTGTACAAGTCGTTTTTTTCCGGATTCTGAGTTATCCTTAGTCTTAAACGCCTTAAGCGCTCAGGGTAAGCTTCTTCTTGTCTTTGGCCTGCTTGACGGAAGACCTCGAAACCCTAAACCCTAGGCTTAAACCCGGAATATCGGAATCTCTATAGTTCCTATAGTTAGTAGATCCCTTACTAAAGGAAGCTAAAGCCTAAGATCAAACCCGGAACATCGAAACCTCCATAGTTCCTAGTGGCAAGGATGCAACTTCAAGAGTAGTTTTTTGTGTCTAGGGAGGAGACCTTCACTGCTTCCTTTGCGCTGGACTTCCGGCCCTGTGTTGAGCCCCTCCTTAAAATTGCCAGCACCAAAGCCCAGATGCGGTAGTACGGCAGAGCCCCGCGACTCAGGCTCCCAACCACTTCAGGACGAGGCCACCCAAAGCCAGCCCCGGATTCGCGATTCTCGGACTGAGTGGTTTTGGACTGGGACACTCTGGCTTGGCCCAGGGCCTTAGGGATTGCTCAGTTTTGGCGGGCTTGAGGTGTGACGGTGAGGCTCATCGCTTCATGGTGTTGGTGTTGGTGAAAGAAGGTCTTGCCGAAAGAGCTTACCCAAACACCAGTTTCTGCCGTGACCCTTCTTGCCCACCCTCATTTCTAAACCTGTTTGTTTACATATATGGCAGACAGAAAAGGGTCGTGCAAACAAAAACCTGTATACCCAACATTGGCCTACCGATAAAGCTCCAGAAGCCGCCGTCGCGAGCCACCCGTACTTGGGCGGCTTACGGCGTGGCAGGCCGGGACTGAGCTGGGTCAGAGAGGGGTTTCGTTAGTAGTACTAATGATGATAGACAGAGTAATAGGAGTAATAATAAACATAGAAAAAATATAACAATGAGAATATAAGAAGAATAGTAATAATACAAAATTGTCGCCGTGCCTGAGCTTTCAAGGATCCCACTAATGCTGTCGACATGCTTGTTTCGTGCATTTCCCGCTATGATTGCAACATATTGCAGCCACTGCTGTAAGGATTTGGGCTCTTTTTGTGAGCATTGCCGTAGTCGCTGCGCCCGTCTGTTTCCTCGCCACGACTTCCTCTTCAGACCGATTCGAAAGGCTGAGGACCAGCGTTGATTATTGAAGATTCTGTAGCGGGGAATTCAAATCTACCTGAAGCAAACCTAGCATGAACCTAGCTTCGTTCTGAGCCCACCTTTCAATTCAGGCCCCGTCAAAGAACCAGAAACTTCTCACGCCAACGCCATGAAGAGCAAAGTACTGTCACACAAACCTTTCACGTTGCTTCCGACTATTGCTATATTGCTTATAAGCCACTTAAGCCCTACATGAACTTTGCAGTAGTATTATTTCTTCTTCCTTGGATTATTGCCAGTGCTCGAGGGCCATAGCATGGGCAGTGCTGCACTGCCGCCATGGCCGACAACATGAGTGCATTTCCGAGTCCCCATACATCTCTACTGACTATACTTGTATATCCCCCTCCCCTATAGCCCTCACACCCCCTGAATCCCCGGCGCTGTGTTTTGCAGGTTGCTGCCCATGCCTGACATTGCGCCTCTGCGGTTTAGAGCCACGCCGGCGCTGGCGGAGGCCGGCCGAGCCGATATCCTGTATTTGGTGGCTGTGTGTGTGCGTGCATGTATATATATGTGTGTGTGCGTGTGCGTGTGCGTGTGCGTGTGCGTGTGCGTGTGCGTGTGCGTGTGCGTGTGCGTGTGGGTGTGTGTGTGTGTGTGAATGTTTCTTTGTTTGTGTTTGTTTTTGTGTTTGTGTTTGTTTTTGTGCAACTGTTTTGAGGCAGGGGGGTTGGGAGTTTGGTTCTCAGAACGGTACTTTCAAGACACCGAAGAGGGACCGTGATCCAGAAGATGCACCAGCCTTTGGCTTCAGTATGCGGGCAGCAGGTTGGAGCTTGCCCACGCTACCTGCGCAATGCTAAGTCAGTCTGCAGGTTGAACTCTTTTTTAGCTTTTTCTTTCTCCGGATGAGGGGTGCGTGGGAGCAAGGTTGAACTAGCTATTTGGCGTTCCAAGCTGCAGTGAACAGAGATGGCAGCCAGGCCTACCCGACTCAACTGGGGGTTTCTTACCAATTAGAGGGCCCTTCTGGAGGGCCGCTATAAAACGCATTGTGCGGTTTCTCTTAAAATAGTTATTTGCCCGATCATTGCCAATGGGCGATGTTTTTTATTGTTGTTGTGCCGGTATGTGTGGGTTAAGATATGATAGTATCGGGTAAGGTGAGGTAAGATGAGCGGCGGGATCCCTATTCGGATGCATAACCGAAGCAACCCGAAACCGACCAGACGAGGCACTGCCAGCGGCTCTTTTATATAGGCTTCACGGAACTTCAGCGTCTGTTCCCTGAAAGGTGGCATCTGAAAGGAGGACGAGCCTGGCCGCCCGTGAAGGCCAGAAAGTCGGGGGAGGGTTTGGGCTTAGGGATCTAGGAGCCTGAGGTTACGCGGGCACATTGAACCCCGTTCATAAATCTTCAACCGCCGTCGTATTTTCGCTATTCTAACAGTTTTGCTGGACACCATCATGAAAGCTCAGTCAGTTTGAAGCTCTCAATGCTCTCAGCCGGAGCAGCTCAAGATCCGAGGATGGCTCATAGAACCTACTGTACCCTCTCCGGCTTGCTCCTTGAACTCCGGCACTCTCCCTGCAACTGAGAGCAGCTTGAAGCTTCTCTTTTGATTCTCTACAGTAGCCGAGTAACCCCAGCCGACCTGTCCGACGGCTTAGCGCGACATGTCTGCTTCGTAGCTACGAAGTCCTTGGTGCGAAAGTCGGAATCAGATCCCTTTTGGGGGGGCTCTAGGGTGCAGTTCGAGTTGTATGGTTTAGTGTTTCAGGCTTCAGGTGCAGGGTTTGTAGTGTTTGGTCGGTGAATGAGGCATTAAAGAGTTCGGCTTGAAGTTCTGCGCAGCTGCACAGCAGGTACGAGCTGCAGCACATGACAGCTTGTCGGCAGTCGGTACCCCAGACGAGTGCTCCATAGGGCCATAGTGTCTAGTGTATATAGGACCATCGGACCAGGCACAAGTCTGAAGAACAAGCCTTAGCCGTAGCTGCTGTTTGGATCGATGGAAGACACCCAGAACCTTCCTAGAAGACTCCAAAATGGAGCCCAAAGCGAGGTTGCGTCATTGACTCGTTTTGCAGGCCCAGCCGCCGCATAAGAATCAACTACTTTGGCCAACTGCACTGACCTTGTAAGGTGCTTTCGGCTGACTCTGATAGTCCTTCTGTCATGAGCCATGCCAGAAATCATGAGATTGCAAGTCTGGGTCCACTCCGTGATTTACAGCGACATAAAGTTTAAGTTTCACCCTGAAGCTTGCCTATCAGCCTGCTCCCTGCATATGCACGGGAACCCTTGTTGCGAGGAGATCATTGCCCTCGCGCGCCTGATCTGAATTTACCCGTCCGGTTCACAACCCTAAACCTGAAACTCAACCCTAATGCCATATAAAGCCCCCTTAAAGCCATATAAGGCCCCTTTTAATAAAGCCTTATTAGGCCCCTTTAAAGCCTTATACGGCCCCTTTGGCTTTGCATCTTGGACCCGGTTATGACAACAGTCACAGGGCCGACCGCCGATTTGGCCGCCTGAGAACATTATGTTCACCTGCCTTCGAGCATGCATCTCGCAAGACTCTTCACATGATTTCTCCCTCGGCTTGCCTGCAGGTCTTTGTCTATCTATCTCATGAGTGCCTAGGGCGCAGATTCATCAGATCTTGCTCGCCTAGGAAGGCGCAGAAGTCTTCGCAGAGCTTATCGCTGCTTCGGTCATCGCGAGACAGGTTGGCGCAGCAGGGCTGCAAAGGAGCACGAGCACTTGGGAAATGAGTGGGATCGATTCCAGAACCTTCATGAAGACCTGACAGAACCCTTTCTCAAGCCATTCAACCCCAGAAGAAGCGCGCAAAGTGACAGATGTATTCACACGCTCAGGCTCTCACATGTGAGCAAAAGCTCCACGCACACGCACGGTTTGCAGTAAGTACATGTGTACATGTGCGTATGACATGCCTTTCTAAGACTCTAGATCTTTTGAATACCCCCGCCCGAATGGCATCTCGGAAAGTTGTGTTTCCCATATGTGGCCAGCATGCCAGTGCCCAAGTGGCGCTCAACCGAATGTACACATAGCCTACTACTTGTAATCCTTAGACCTTATAGACCCAACATCATGGCCAGGTTGCCCCCGAATGTTGTGAACGCCGTTCTGGGAGCTGTTGCCAAGCGAGGAGGTCCCTTGCCGGCTGAAAACCACGAAACCTGCTTGGCTTTCCACAGACACTGGACAGGTCGCGTCGATGATTTGCTTGCTGAACTTGAGGAGGACATTGCGCTTAGCAACTGCAACCTTAAATCCTGAGATTTCTCGTGCCCAGAGCTTCAAAGTGGCTGATCATAGATTAACAGGAGACATTGGATCTCCAACAGCTGAGTGGCAAATACCCATCGAATTCTGGGTCTTTTGCTGACTGAAATCCTGAATCCGGCATCTTTAATGTCACTAAGACCTTCCATGGTGCAAGTTTGATGGTCCGCATGACTTTGACCTTCAGGTAAAAGCCGGGTTAGCGCAGACGTACCTGCGTGGACCTTGAGGGGTAGGGCTCCGGACCACGGGACCTAGTCCCCAAACCCCTAGCAAGCAAGCACAAGAGAGAGAGAGAGAGAGACAGAGACAGTCAAAGCGACCCGAACTTCCATATCCGAATCTTCAGCCTTGAGCCATTGTGGCTGCTAAGCTGCTGCAACTGCGGCATGGAAGCCACATAATGTATAGACCTCAATATGTCAACATGCTGATAGATACATGTTGTAGTACGCGTATCCCCCACACCAAATCCAAATCCTCTGGTGGTCCTGATTATTAAGGCTCGTTTTTGTGGCACTTCGCTTGTCCTGCTTTGTAAAGCCGCACCCGTACCAAAGCATGGAACAGAAACTACAAAATCAGTGCCGGATTGCATAGTCCCGCGACCGCAATGCTAGGATGACAAATGCAAAAATACCCCTGTGCAGCAGAAATTCTAACAATGAAAATGATCAAGCCCATTCAGCCACAATCAACGCGTGCGCTGCAGATATACACTGAGGTTTATGGAGTTCTGGTCTAAAACCCCAAGACCCTAAGACGTATTAAGACTGAGGGTCCAATATAGGCAGAGATCCGAGGGATGATGGTGAAAGCTACGGGGTTGAAGAGAACCGGAGGAAGCGTGCATTTAGAGGGTTTCAGGAATGAAGAGGTTTGGTGCTGGTAGGGTTTTAGCAATTGGGGTTCAGAAGGGAGCGATTACGGGGCTTACCTTTTTGGGGGGTTTTAGGGGTTGGTTGAATCGAAATTCTGTTGTGACCCTGTTTCCCCTTCTCTTCGGAGTGCTTTGCGGAGGAGGGTTTGCAGCTCGATACCGTTAGCTACAACATCGCAGCCCGGTCTTGCAGCATTTGGGGTTTATAAGGATCCATGGATCATGCAACACTTTCGCTTCAGTTGTCCAGTAGCGAGGAGAGGTCCTTCTAGCTTATGGATGGAGGGCTGGCGAACTTACCGTGCAAGGTTCATGGCAGAAGCTCCGGAATTTGAACTGGTGGCTTGATCGTGTTTGCATACGGATGGCTCCCGATCTTCGGCATCGGCAGCGACTTTGTAACTTGAGATGTCCATGGCCTGCGGGGATATTGGCAAGAAGCGAGGAACTGCTAACCGTAACCGCGGATCAATGCACCCCACTTTAAAAATACTAGCACATTCATTCTTCCAGAGTCTTATTATCAGCACTTGTCAACTCTAGCTTAAAAGCTATACGGCATGTTCTAGCTCTGGCTTAGACACACGCCACTTACAAGTACTAAACCTCCATAATATGCTTGAACCCGAGCAACCCTAAGCCCCAAATCCAAACCCAACCATCAGGCCAGCCTGAATTCCTGCCCAGCTGAAGCTACCAATTCAGGGTTTGGTGTAAAGCCGTAGCAGATGTTTCGGAGCAGCTAGCAAGAATAAATCCATATAGCCTTGCACTAAGTTACTTTCATACCCCCTACCCCTATTCCAATTTCTGGATCGGCTGTATGGAAACATATAGAACCTTACAAAGCCTCGTAAAACCATATTCTTCGCATGACAGGCCCCAAGAGGGCCAGACGAAACCAACCTTCTTCTCCGTACTGAGAGCACCCATCCATAGTTTAAATCTTCAGAAGACCAGCTCCAGGCCATGAACACGCAGGCTCGGCAAGGGGAGGTGGCAGGAGCCACACAGCTGTTCGAAGCTCGGTGCAGAGGTGTTCTGTCCCAAGCCTTAAAAGATTTAGGGTTTAGAGGGTCTAGACACAAGGGTTTCAGGCTTTGGCTTCGAGGGTTCCGGGAATTATTGAAGAGGGTTCAGTCAAGAGGGCTTCAGGCTCACAGGCTTGGGGTTCAGGGGTTTGTAGGTCATCGTGGGCATCACAATGCAGGCTGTTTGTTTTGCGAAGCATATCGCCCCTTCCGTCGCGTGGACTTAGTCAACCAAATCCAGGCTTCCGAGCTTTTTGGGGGTAGGTCTTCATAGTGTTTAGTCACCAGGGCATACCGGGGTTTCAGGCTCAGCGCTCGGCGGCTTATGCTGTAGGGCTGGGTATGGCACGGACCTCAGAGCCCACGTGCAATCAAGGCTGGGTCGGTTGAGTCAAGAGGTTTCAGGCTTTGGTGTTTAAGGGTTGAGGGTGTTCAGGTTCCAGTCCCGGCTTTTAGGTATAAGGGTTTTACGGAATTGTTGTCAAACCCGAAACGATATGTTAAGCTCAAGAACCACAACCCCGAGCTTCAACCCAAAATCCCCAGCCCTAAACCGACACATCAAAGCCTTAAGCCCTACAGCCCAGTGCTATGTTCTCCTGCATCCCCTTTTTTGTTCAAAAGCCAAACATGCTTTAAGTCTGGTCCCCTTTCCAGATCTGAAGCCAAATATGCGCTTTAAGTCTGCAGGTGCTACGCCAGAAGCCGCACGCACCTGGACCCTGAACCCCAAGCCTTTATCGAAAGAACGCCTTCGTTTGGGCCCAGGAGCGATTGAGGCACGCGGCTCTTCAACCGGATGTTGTCAGCTACAACTGCCATTCGGACATATCAGAATGTATCCTATCAAAAAAACAGAAAGAGACAGAGATCTTTGCATATGTGATAAGTTGCAGCCTGACCAAGATTTCACGTCCCCAAGAAGTGCCACACGAAGGGGGACCCTGGTGGTCGCACATTATCCATGGCATGGAGAAGGAGCGAGAGAGGGAGAGATTGTGGCCACAAAAGAAAGAGATAGTCCGCAGAACGGGGGCGGGCTTGATGCCCGGAAGGCCTGACAAGCCCCCCCTTCGGAGAAAACGAGAGAGAGAGACAGAGAGAAAAGAAAATGGGCGACCCATGTGGCCGGGCCATCTTAACCCGTCCCCCATGCCCTATGGAAGAAGAGACAGAGAGAGACAGAGAGAGAGAGAGAGAGAGAGAGAGAGAGAGCGAGAGAGAGAGCCAGAGCTACATTGATTGTTTGAATGTACGTCCTGGGGATGTGTACTTCGAGCGGATCTTGCAGTCTTGGAGTTATAGTGACAGCGTATGCCGGCTCTTGGTTACAGCAGGCCCGGGTTGTGTCATGTGCAACACGTCAGCTTTGCGGACAGCATGTTACCAGAAAGCACCGTTGCCAACCAAAACAGAAACAACCTTTTTTGGCAACGCGCAAATAATGCTTGTTCACGCTGCACTGCACCCCTTGGAAACGAGAATTCCTGACTCCCCATTGAGGCATTCTCAATGCCTGCGCTAAAGCCTCAGACGCTGAGCATGCCGTGGCTCGGCAGAATGTTTGTCACCTGAACGATCTTTACGTCATGATGTTGCAGAACAGGCTATTGCTACTCGCACTACTCGTAGAGCTGGTTGTGGCATCACGGACAGTTGCGACATCGTCATGGTCGTTGTGGTTGTAGTTGCAGCTGTCGTCATCGTGGTGATGGTGGTGGCGCGATGACGACGACCAGTACTGCCGCTACCGCTACTGCTGAAGCTGCTGATACTGCTGCTACTTTCCGATTTGGCGAATTACGTCCAAGTTCGATTTAACCGAATTCCAAATGCAGGTTGCATGCAGCCCGTTCCTACGCAAATCATTGATCATGTAGAGCCGGGCGGCGACGTTGTGTTTGTAATCCGACCTCATAGGCATGAGCAAAGCCAGAACGAAGCGGAAGAGTTGGAAGCAGGAACGCGCGGCATGTTCCTTCATGTCAAGATATTGGGCCAGGAGATGCCAGCAGGCTATTGCTGGGTATTTCCACAAGCCCTCTCTGAATCACTGAAGCTAAGGAATTCTGGATGCAAAGCTTGCAGGACAGTGGCTTGGACTGTGTTGAAGGAACTTGAGAGTTTCTCCTTGATATGTTCCCCAGCTTGACGCTTCCATGAAGGCCCTACTTCAGATTTCTGGGTGTTTTGCTGGCTCCAGCAGCATCTACCTTGCACCTCACACTCTTTGAGCGACTGGATACTCACTCTCCGTGACGCAGTGGAAGCAACCCAGGCCCTATCAGCGCCACGGAGGTAAGCTATGGAAGCCTGTTGGAAGCTTGGATGATATCTGAGACATTGCAATGTCCTTGACAAGTCATTGCTTGGTAGTTTGCGCTGGGTTTTGCCGGGCATTGTAGGAACCACACACGGCCAATAAGCAGTCCAAAAGCTGTGAAACCCGAGATACGGCCCTAAGAAAACCCGATTCCCAAGGATGCCTGGGCACGTCAGGGCGATCTCGCCGCTGCAGAGGGCGTCCTCGAGGCCATGATGCAGCGGAGGTTGTGGCCCGGACAGAAGGTTTAGGAAAGTTTAGAGATCAGGGTTTCAGGGTTTGAGTATAGGGTTAGCAGCAGCGTTCACGGTGGGTCTTGAATTGAGGGTTTTGGTATTGACAAATGAATGTAGGTCCAATACTAGCCATGTACTTTGTTGGGGTACTATAACCAGTTGTTTAGCCACAAAGGACTTGCAGTAAGCAGGTCTAGGGCTTTGGGGGACAGGGCTTTAGGTTTCTAGTTTGGTCGGGACATTATGGGAACAGGAGCCAGATGTGGCAAATGTACCTACCTACCCACCGACCTACCTACATAACTACGTAGTAGTAGTGGTAGTAGTTGTAGTAGTGTGGTGGCGGCGGTGGCGGTGGCGGGGGTGGTGGTGGTAATGGTAGCAGTGGACACACACCTTCATTCTTCGACCTCACGCATGACACGCGGGAGCTCCCCACAACTGGGAGCAGGACGAGGAGTACCTATTTCAGCGTTCCATGGGCCTTGTGGTTCCCATTTTTCTGAAATGTCACAAAGTTGACATGTTCTCTATTGATTAAGGTCCTTGAGACTTTCAACCTAGGGTGTTGGAAGTTCGAAGTCTACTCTGACACCACTCCCTATAATCACAGCCCCTATAGCGTGCAAATCC